TTTCCATCACCAGGACTGGCCCAAGACCGTAAATTGAGAACAGGCTTATGTCAAAATTTCAAACAAATATAATTTTTTTTAAAAAATATAGTAATGAAAAAAATCATATGTTTAAATGTAAATGTCCTGTACATTGCAATCATTAAATAAATCTCAAAATGATAAAAATCTAAATTTTGATTGTTTTTAAGTTCACCAGGGGCTCGTAACATAAAGCTTGCTAAGTTTTTGACTTAAGTAGGGTCGTAAGTACGGTTTAGACATAAACTTAGGACCTGTCTTAGCGAAGTCAAACTTATGTTAAAAATATTTCATATTAGGCAACCTATGGTTTTTGATTTTATATAGATATATTGCTAAAAGTGATTCAATTAGGGTTTTAATTAATTACATATTAAAGTTGACGTCCTCACCTATCGGTTTAAGTTGTGTTAGATTAGATTTCCTATTAAAATTATAATTATGTTATAAATTATACGGAATGTTTGAAAACAAATACCGCACGGTCAGAAAGTGGCGATTTGTGGTTCATTGTAAATGTTCACGACAATTGTTTTATCACCTTAGATGTTTTCAGTTTATGTATTGTAACCCTTTTGTTTTGAAAAATGTTCACTTACTCTGTTATTATCGCAGACAAAAAAGATAATCGACCGCCTATCCACTTGAAATTGAAACTCTAAAAAAGAAAAATACATTTTGAATCCCCGGCCCGCGATCAGGCCATGCATGTCAGAAGCAAAAACTGCAGAAGTGTTATGATATACTCATTTGCAATTTAATCAAAGAAACAAAAAAAAAATCGGATATTTTTTTCGTATGTCTCCACTTATCAGCAATTCTCTCTCTCTCTCTCTCTCTCTCTCTCTCTCTCTCTCTCTCTCTCTCTCTCTCTCTCTCTCTCTCTCTCTCTCTGTAGGGTTGTAGTGAACCCTGCCTAAATCCGCCTTTGTTGCATTCTACATTTATTCTACGTACTTTACAGATACTTTTTTATTACTGCTTTAGTCATCATCCTCTTTCTTTTCTGTTTTTAACAAATTATTTCAACTCATAATTTCGCAGTGAACATACCGATCCATGGTTTATAACTGTGTTCAATTTATTTCTATAACCGGGGTCCCACTAATTTCAGACGTATCCCTAAAGTTAAATTTCGTATTTACATGTACATGTATGCTGTGCTGGAAGTGATATTGGAATAACTGATCAGCCCCCCCCCCCCCCAACGAAAAAATAAAGTTCTTAAATCAGCGTCAAATAGAGATAATTATTTCCTTTAATGCATAATATGAATAGAGGAATGTTTTAACATCAAAAGTCAACATTAAATAAGTCTAAATATATGTACAAGAAAGTTAAGATATACTTAAGTCACCTCTACCGGCCGCCTAAGTTTTGCTAAGATTGCGAAATCTTAGTACGCTTCTAGTTACGGTCTTAAGTTTTAGACTGTACGTAAGTCCTACTAAAGCACGGTCTTAGACTTAAGTAGCCTTTATGTTACGACCCCCCCCCCCTCCCGATCTCGGGAAATGGAATATTGCTAACTTTCTTAATGACGCAGTGTAATAAACAATGAAAATGTTTGAAATATTCAAAATTAATTCCAGACTAGTTGTTCAAAGGTTTTGCACGATCTTAAAATAGAAAACTGGACACTTACTTGGTTTCGTTACACCATATACCAACTAAACGCATCAGTCATTGCAGAAGCAGGAGGGCTTCTGCTAGATCTTAATGAAAAACACTGACTCTATATTAAAGATTTTTAAAGAGGAGGTCCCTGTCTACACTATCTTAGATTTATTTGATAAATGTTTTACATTTAGTTTTATTTGATATCGAATATTAAAACTCGATTGTGCAATTTCTATTTTCTACATAAGTTTATGAAAAGCGCATCAAGATTACAATCGGACAATTATAAAATTGTTTTTCACTTATAGTGTGGGATGAGTAATACAATCTCTTTAATACTTTCTTTGATAAATTTATCGAAAACAACAGATAAAACTATAACATTGCTAAACAGTAAACTGTATATAATAGTGCAGTTTGCACTGCTATATTTTCTAAATACGAAGGTAAATTATTTCCCAATTTATCTATACTGCAAGACCATACTGTCTTATAGTTATATATTAAATTTTGTGAAAAAAGGTTCGTTATAAATTGAATTATCGGCAATTTTTTTAATTAATAAAAAGATGAGGATGAAATATGTGGAGATAACTAACAGTATTCGAGCTCAAAAGTTCATTAACCACAGACAACCAAAGCATGAGAGGTGGGATCAGGATCCACGCATGAAGGAATGAGCATCCCCTGCCGACCGGTCACAATCACCGTGTGCTCCTCCTCATGATCGGGAAAAAAAGGAAAAAAAATCCGTGTACAACTCTGTGTGTAAATAATGATAGCCTAGCAATCAGTATGAAAAAGTCAGTCAGCATTTGTATTTGCTGACAAATTCATTATATTGACCATAGAACTTACGAAATGATGAGTTCAAAGACCGTTGATATTCTTGCTTCATTAACTTGTTCTTAGCTGCAGCTTAGTTGTTCTTAGCTGCAGTAATGTTGCCCCCCCCTTGCAAAAAAAAAAAAAAAATTGAGAATGCAACATATTTGCAGCTCTTATAGCTCTTCTTCTCTCTCTGATTTATACATTTATACATTTGGTTTTGTTATTAACCTGATATAACACTACATGTATATTCATTTGAACTCAAAGCAATACTTCGTTTTTAAAATTTATTTTTTGATTGTAAAAAAAATCATAAACATGCTTGCATGTAACATCATTTACACATGAATTCTTCAAAAACCGTGCATAATTACAAAGAACAGAAACTATCTCTCTCAAAACCAAAACCATTAATTAAGAAAAAAAATTGATCACAAAGTCTCAAATACTCATACCTTAGAATCAGAATACATTGATTCAGAGAAAGATCAAATTAATTGCATAGTGATTAGACTACAAGATTCTTACTTAATTAAGACAAACTTCATAAAAAAGTAGAAAATGTACATTCAAGCATTGAAAACTAAATAGTGTTTGTAAAAATGTATACAGGTTTCATTCTTTCAGAAGCACTTATGTCATAACATGTATCAAAATACCTAAAACATTTTTGTATACACCAGTATATAATTGTATAATCACTTAGTCAGCAAAATAATACGTTGTGATCATTGAAATACAACAATCTCATTAAAAATACATGTAATGCTCTTGCGAAATGCTGATAATTTAAATTTTATCTAGAGAAACCAGTAAGCAGTGTCTTAGAAGGAAACACTATCCACTCTGTACAGTTAGAAAGACGAGCATTTGATAATATTGGCAATGTATGTGGTAAATTTTGTTCATGCACATTTAGCACTAATAAGGGGAAAATTTTTCCCCAGAGCCAGATATAAATTTGAGTATACATATAAAAACAGCAAATGTACAGTGGTTTTAAGCTGAGAATGGAAAAGGTTGAACTAAGCATATATGTCTATTGTTAAACCTTTCTACAGCACATGGATTGTTAATCTTAACAAAAGAATAAGATACAAAATTTGTGCACACATGAATGGATTTCTTTATGAATATCTATACTGAGAAAAACAATGAAAATATTGCTTTTGATTCAAAATCAAAGTCATAATAATTAAATGTAAGGAATAGAATATACAAGACGTCATTGTATCTGGACAATGTGTTAAAGATAATCAGTATAATCAACCATGAAGCATAAGCTCAATAAAAGTAAATAGAAAACAGTTCAGTCATTAACAACAAATATTAGCACTCAAAAATGCTTTACATCTTCATACACTCTCTTCTCCTAAGGTTATACTGAGAATGCAGTTAGTGTAACCCACTTTCTTCTCATCAGAAGTTATACTACTCTAAGTTTTAAATTTTCATGCAGGTTTCTTTTTTAAAAAATCCTTTAACACATCAAAGCAAAATCAAGTGATGAATAACAGACGTAAAGTTTGTTCATGTATTCACTGATAAAGAGAGAAAACTCTTGATATTTACTAGATTTTTAGTAACAGAAAGAAAGATTCAATTTACCATTATCAAAAATATGTTCCAAAGCTCTGTTAGAAAAAAATCTCTCTGTATAAATATCTCATCTTCAAAATATCATTAAAATTATGAAAAGATTTCCTTTCCTAAGATAAGCAATACAAACTAAATTTCTTTACAATACATTGATGTATAGATTCACATTCTTCTCATCATTAAACAAATACATGTAATCATTGGAACATGTACAATTTTAATGAGACATTTCATATAACCAATAAAAGCTGCTCAATAGTTGGACTTTCATGACCATAATAAGTAGTGGATATTTCCAGTAAGTGAATGACTGAACTGAAACTTAAAAGACAAAATATATATTACATGAATATATATGAATATGAGTTTTATCATTCAGCATCTTTGTGTATGTTCTTCACATAAATCCCCATTGACAAACTTTTTTCAGTAAATTGTTTCTTTCTGTTGTGATTTATACCTATCTATCATTCACACCTTTGCTAGTACACTATTTGTTCATATATATAAATATGAATATTTCACACAAATACTTGTTGAAAGACAGAACACATAATAGACTCACTTTCTAACTTGTTCATAAATTGAACACATCTATAAATGCCATGTCCCCAGATACTGTTATCATTTAATATTTCATTTCACCAACTAGTAGAAATTGATTATTACATATTATGATATCTAGTTCTAAAATTATTTTTGAAATGTAGTGAGTTGTTCAATCTTTGTTTACATAAAGAGAAAAGAATGATTTTTTGTTTATGATTAGTCTTCAGTTTTGTTTTAAATTATTTTTTTTATAAAGAAAGTGTACAAAAGTTTTATGGAAAATCCTCAAACCAACCTCAAAATGATTGAAAATGGCCACACTTCAAACAATAAGACCTATATAACCTTATAAATAATCTATTGTTAAAATAATCATTAGGTACTAGCTTTCATCTGTACTCTCTTTTTATCATCAAATAAACTCCTGATGAGAAGAACTTGGGTTAAAGCTACAGACAACATTATAAACACTTGTACTCCAGAGAAAAAGTTCACGCGCTGGAAGTTGTTTTCCTGTTGGTTGCGATCTCGAGCCTCGTAGTTCCTCAGGACTTGCTGATCGGAACGAGCTTTATCCAGATTATTGTTAACATTATCCAGCAATCTCTGCAATACAAGGCATTTAATGAATCAACACAATAGTTATCTTAAAGTTATCTAACTTAATGACAAGTAAAGTATTCTGATAATTATTCTAATCAAGTTGTGGAAACTGTTACAGAGGCTTAAAATGTTTTGGCAAGCAAAGTTTCCCCCATCTGCAGTCAAGTGATTATATTCAAGAATTAGATCTAGTTTTTGGCATTTGGTACTTAACATGAAATTTGAAGATAAGGAACAGTTACCATTTTAAAAAGTCCAATTAAACAAAAACAATTGTGAGAAGAGCAAACAAGGACCTCTAAAAATGGAGGTGGAATCACAAGCCATAGGGGAGCGAACATCCCCGACAAGGTGCTCTTTCACAAAATCCAGTAAACAGGAAAACCAGACACAATTAAGAATGTTAATAACAATTTGCAATAAAGACATCAATACACACACTTTTTTTTCTTAACATAAATGAGAATTAATTAGGGATGAAATGTCCAACTCAGTATATATATGATTTTCAACATGTTAATTTTTATACCTTGAAATCTTCCAGAGTCATGTCTACAATAGACGACAGCTCCTCCTGAGCCGCCTTCCAGTCTTTCTTTAGATCATCTTCTTCGTCCTCATCATCATCACCAGCCATGATTTCAAAGAAGACCAGCTTTCTTGCAAAATGACTGAATGAGTTGTCAAAGCAAACCTTGTAAACACCCACCTCTGTGGCATCAAGCCTGCAGAAAAATTAGGAAAATTAAAATGAGAATAATAGTCCACGTTAATACACCTGTGCCTTACAGAAATATCATTCCAATTTTATACAGAATCAATATCATTCCAATTTTATACAGAAACTTTCAGGGATTAACATTTACAGCTCTCATTCCCTTTTTCATTTTTTTCCCCTTTTTTGTACTTTAAAAGGAGAGAAGACAGGTCTCATAACAGCTTATATTGATTTATTCTTCCTAGATCCATAAAAAAAAATGATTTGTTCATGAGGTAACGGGTGGGTTCTCCCCGATTACGTGTTTGCGCCGAGTGGTTTCATGCTGAGTGGTTTTGCTCCCTTTAACTACAGCTAGCCTAGGTAATAAATTTATATGTTTTCCTATTAAGAGATTTACACACAGTGGTATTTAGATAATTAAACAACATTCAATATTTGATATAAAGTGATATTCTTTACGAATAAAAAATTAATTCATCATGAAATCTAATGCAACGTATAGCGATTCATTTTTTTTAAAAATAGACAAATAAATAGGGCCTGAATAAATAAATAAATATAATAGCAAGCGCAGCAAGAGTCATGAAGCGAGGCTCGTCACTGCGAGCTCTAACGACAACACCTGGGCAAAGAGAAAATTCGGACTACTGCACATTCATTCGATAGAATTTTTTTGCACAGTAATTTGGACCCGCAATGTATCGATTCGTGCAGAAAAGCTAAAACAAAGTTATCGTTAGAATAACAACAAAAAGTTAAACGAATTATAAACTTGCCTTGATTGAATGATTTTATTACAGAAAAATAGTCAATAAAACGGTTCTTTATTACAATCAGCTCTGTTTAGGCTTCGGTTTGGTAAAGCAACATGCATACGACGTCATGTGACGTCAGAGTCTTAGATGCAATGTCACGTGCAGTTTGACGAGCCCGATTTAAATGAAACCTGGATCATAAACTTATCTGCGCTCGCCCTAACGGTCGCACCATCCACATTTTATTTCCCTTGGATTTTTTAGTTTAACATAAGAAAATTAGAAATTAGTTATAGTTTATGCACAATGGATACAGCTAGCTACATGTAGCCATTGTAAAAATAGTTGGTATATTGCCTAGATACATGTAAAATGCACAAGGATGGCCTTTCATATTTAATTTTTATTAAGCTGCTCATCATTAGTCTACTGATCAAACAACCACCCGACATTAATTATAGGTTAAACCAATGGGGCGAATCCACTCAGCGCGAACAAGTAATTGGGGCCAAACCACTCAAAGCGAACAGGGAATCAGGGTGAAACCACCCGGGTTCCTTCATAATAGGTTCTCTATTTACATGTAAGTGCAGCACCTTAGTACCAATCTGATCACTCTGTTAAGTGGTTTTACTTACTTGTGAACTGCATCCGATTTCTGAAGCTCTGATACCATGATTCTACCATGAGGCGACGTCACCATGAAGTTGATATCTAAATCACCACCATCTATTACCTGAATGATTCATTCAAACCATCTCAGTAAATTTTAGTAAATTTTTTTTAAACAGGTCCGACACAATCTCTTGAATACAATGCATGTAGGATAATTGATTGGTAACAGTTCAGCACAATGAGAAGCAATCATACTTATCCACACCACCTCACCGCACACAAAGAAGTGGACAGTTACTCAAACAATGGAAATTCATATTTTGATTAAAAGTAAGCAACAGCAGCAATGTGAAAACTTTTTATGATTTAGGTTGTATTTTTCATAGTCCATAGTACATATATGAACAGGTCCAGTCCAAAGACTATTTCTACCTACATAGCTATTAATAGCTACCTAGGTATTTAAAGCTACCCAAAGTAGCTATTTTTACCTACTTTTTATAATTTCTGCATTTTGCAGCCTAATGACCAAACGGCGCAACATGGTGAATACCATATCTTTTGATACAATCACACTACTGATGAATACGACAAAATTTGTCCAAAACATGATTACTTCCTGAATCGGCAATTTTACATTAGTCTCTATGCAAAATTGATAATATACGAAGTCATCATTTTTTGGCCAAATTTTTGTCATATCCATCATCAGTGTGACTGTATCAAGAAATTTTGTGCTCACCATGTTGCGCCGTTCCTGCATTTGGCCACAAAATGCAAGTAAAGCAGAAAGTAGGTAAAAATAGCTACTTTGGGTAGCTTTAAATACCTAGGTAGCTATTAATAGCTATGTAGGTAGAAATAGTCTTTGGACTGGACCTGATGAAAAGTCAAATACTTGCGACTTTTTTTAATTTCTTGCAAAAAACGTTTTTGTGAAAAACTGCAAATAAATAGCTTTATCAAGCTATTTTGAATACCTTAATAAAGCTATATAACTTTTAAAAGCTGTATAGCTTAATCAAGAGATTGTGCTGGACCTGTTCGTTTTACTCTTATTACTTTCATCACTAGACACTCAAAATCATATCGTTTCTTTAAAACGCTTTTCTTTTTTCTTTCTCAGACACATTTAAATTCTTCACACAAATCTAAGATATTTATTAGAAGGGTATATGTAGGCCTACTGGGTTCGTATCATACCTGATACTCAATTTCCAAACTCGTGGGTTTCTTAATCTCCTCGAAGAAGCACTCTTCATAGCCTGGTTTTACGTCTACCGTTAGGTCTATTTCTAAAGTACGTACAAATAACGTCAAATTTAAAAGGACACACACAAATACAGAGAAAAAGAAACTTTTAAACATCTTTACAACTTTGCCACACATCCCACTCAAAACAGGAAGTATACAATTGTTGTAAATAAAAAACCCAACAGTATCAACTTATCCGGATGACAACATAAAACTCAAAATGAAAGTTCCCGGAATAGATGTAATTTGAAAAGAACATCGGATAATGATTTTATTTGATTCATTAATATTAAGTTTCCCATTTTCAAGGACAGATTGGTTCGAAAAGAACTTAAAATGAGAATTTCGTTAATCTTAATTCGTCTGTAAACAAGCAATCTGGCAACAACAGCTTTTATGGGGGAAATACTAAAGACCTGACTGACCTGACCAACATAAAATTCGTCAAAAATCACTATTTTAAGACCATTCATCATATTTTAAAGGATATTTTCTTAATAATGATATGAAAATAAGTTAAATAAATATTAATATTTAATGGTTAAACAAACAACATAGGTCAGTGCCCCTTTTGACACATCGATCACAGTAACATTGGAATCAGCAATGTAAACTGGGAAACAGTAGTTAATCCATTTCATTTTATCAATTTTTAAAAGAAGATTTCTGCATGAATATTATATTTAAATTAAATCAATATAAAATAAAGTACCTAAGAATTGTTAAAGAAAGAAGGATTAAATTAAGAGTCAAAATCAGCAAGCATCGAGCATTGAATGGAAAGTCAAAATTTTATTTTTTTCAAAAGCTATTGGTATATAAAAGATTTTGTCCTACTTAATGCTAAAACACAATTAAAAATTTTTTTTAACGTATGAAGGGACTGGTATCCAAGGAAATTCATTTCCTTAGCAACGGGTTCATAAATCCTTATGAAAATCAATGATTTTTAGACATTTTTCTATGAATATGTTTTCTGAACGTGATAAGATAAGGTATTTTGGTTACTTTATTTGTTAAAAGATGGAATTACTGTATTCTTCAAAAGTAGGAAAAACAAAATTTCTGTAGTGATATTGTTGCCTTGACAACGGGAAAAGAACAATGCGTCAATGCTTATTAATTTTGAAAAAAATTACATATGTTTATCACTATATACACAAAAGCTACAACCACTGCTGGAAAAATGAATGGTGTGATCTTGTTAGGGGTTATCTATATGTCAAATCTATACAATAAAATTTGCAGGCAACTTAATTTAGTAGAAAAAAGTTACAAATGGTTAAAATGTGTGACAATCTGGCATTTATAAGCTTTTTTGAAGGGGTGGGGGTAATTTGAATACATGTACAGTGTCCATTATATTGGTCTTATTGGTTCTGATCAAAGCATACTCATAATTTTTTTATTGTTGAAAAATAAATGCACATTCAATTTCAAAAGGAATTTTATATTCCTCACAAACGAAACTTGGAAAAAAGAAGGGGGGGGGTAGGGATCACCTTGTTCACCCATCCATATGTATGTAAAATTTTGATTTGTCCATAACATTTTAATGAAGTGCCACTAAAAGTTCATACTTGATATTAAGGTTTCTTGTGATCTAAAGATGTGTCAAAAACTTGACCCAAGGTCATTTGAACAAGTTCAAGGTCATTGGTAGAAGAATAGTTCAATTCTTGCCCTTTCTGTTACATTCTAATGAAAAGACTTTAAGTTTCATCTCGGGGATTATTTTTGAGCTGTAGGTTTGTCATGACCTTGACCAAAGTTCATTTGGACATGTTGACCTTGACTCAAGGACATAGCTTTTTCAAAGGTCACTGCAGTAAAAGTGTACTATATGGGTTTGGCACATTTACTTATTTAACTTCGAATGAAGAGAAAATGGAAGTTTGTGCTCAACACAACGGTTTAACTACCTATGACTTAAGTATATGTCATAGTCATTTTTGGTATGTATATCTGCACTAGCAAAATTTTAAAAAGGTTTTGAATTAATATTTGGACCTTTTTTGTAATAAAAAAGACATTTGATGCAATAGCAGGAGGGTGGGTATCATTTTATGAGCTTGCTCACAATAATTCTAGTTTATGAAAGAGAGTCACTATGACTGCTCACATAATTTTAAAGTAAATTAAAACCATATCAATCAGGCATGTAGCATCAGGTTTGGGTTGGGTAGGGGGGTTGACATTCCCCACCCAACTTTTTTCTTAACATAACCTGATGTTTAACCCCCCCCCCCCTCCCGAGTTTGGAGAATTTCCCCACTTTTATTCTTGCAGTTTTTTTTATGCCTACCCCACACCATGCACTTTCAAAAACGATACCATGTCTGTCAAGAACGAATGACTGCAACCTTTTGTATTGAACCGATGATATATTCTCCTGCTGTCCTAATTAAGAAACAATACTGCAAGACAGCTAAAACCTCAGTAGCTACTGGTGCCTAAAATAAAAATCTGGAAGGGCTATAATGTATATGAATGTCTAAACTTGAACTGACCCTAAAAGATATTCATTAATAACCCTAATGGGCAATCTTTTGAATGGCATATATCGAAATTTTTGTTGTACAGTGTACTTACGTTTAAAAACATTTTGAAAACAATGTAGAAATCAGAAGAGAATGACAAATATGAATATTTTTTTTATAAAATACGAAGAGATACAAAACATAAATTTGAGGAACGTGCCGTCTGACTTTAAACTATTTAATCATCATCATCATTTTTATTTCACTTACACCAACATCAGTAGTACATGAGGTACTATATATAAATTAGTCCTCTTTCTTTTTTCTCACAAAAACATTTTGTCAGTTTTGAAATTAGTTGATTGATCATTTAATATTGACCTTGTTTTTATTATGATACTTCAAAATGCAGAATATAAAGATATGTTTCAGATTCTTCTGCGGTCTAATTATTAATCTGCATACTAAAAATTGATAGTTATATTAGATTTACATCAATAAAAAAATGCTAACAGACAAACAAAGAATGTTACTTTTGGATTGAACATTTTTATTTGATCCACTTTCATGAATACACTGTACAATTTATGGATCTATTTTCTGGATCCCTGAGTCTCCGGTAACACTTTTCACTCACTTCCAGCATCAATGGTCTGTACTGTAATAATGTCTTTCCATAATCTGAAAAAGTAATAAAATTAAAATGTAATAATATTATACAGCTTTGCCTTAAAACTTAGAACCATTTATTGGAATCAATTAAATTCCAAGAGATCTCAATGGTTTATCATTTTATTTTAAAAAATTAACGTTTTTACTAAATGTATTATTTACATGTTTTTCCTGTCGAATTCTATATCAGCTCATCCAATTCTGTTCCTGCTTCTTTCCGAGTTTGGCTTCAAAGTGCCGAATTTCATTCTAAAAACAGAAATATACAACACAAAGTTGAGACTGTATTGATTTTAGATATTCTTTAAATTGAAAAACTTGCAATAAAAAGGTCAATTGGTTCTAGGTTTTGTCAAAACTCTAAATTATGTTTCTCATTTCTTTCCAATCCCCCCCCCCCCCCAAGAAAAAAATGGAGTATAGATATTCATTTCATAAATTTACGTGCTTTAAATCTAATGATGCTTATTATTTGAACCTAGTTGACTTAAATTAGTTCAGTGGTACCGGAGAAAATGTTAGCTGAATATGAATTTTCTTTTATAAGTAAACACTGGATGACGTCAGCAAAAAAGTTATTTTTTTTTTAAATTAATTATTTTACTGTGGATATATACAATTCAGTTACCACTAGTCCACTACATAATACACTTGTCTGTATCACAGTACTTCCAAGGTAATCCCCTGTCTTAAACTAAAATATATTTAGTACAGAGTTAACTCTCTGCCCCTTTTTCTTTTTTTTTTTTTACGGACACCATAACAAAGGTCATTTCATTTTACAAATATTTCATAATAGTTTTGGTTTGCATACATTCATAATTTTTCATGTAAAAAGCAGGTATTATCTTAAATGGTAAATAAAGATATCTACTACAGTCATTTTACCAGTAACGAATCGGTTTCTAGTTACGTATTAAATACAACCCATATCTTTGAATTTCCAAATTTTCTTTGTTGTTGTTTAATTTGTATTTCTAAGCTCTACAAACAAGTAGTACAAAAATTTCAAAAATATAAACGGTACAGGGACATAACTGTCAAAAATAACACCCCCCTTTTTTCCAAGTTTCGAATCGATTTTTCAGTATCGAATCAGGTGCCCTCTATTGTTGCTGACTTAATAAATGAAACCGGTTGGTCGAATTTATTGTAGAAATATACCTTCAAGAAAATTCTACATAAAGTATATAAGCATTACTTGTTGATTCAAATGATTATTTTTCTAAAACTAAACAATATGAAAAATGTTGCATTTTATGAGAAACTTTTAGTGACATGCGTTATTATAATTAAATCAATCATCTCTGAGTCATAATTTTCATGGAATATTTTTGCGTATAAATAGTTTTGATAGTATTTTCACTCCTGTCAGCTTTCTTTGTTTTTGCATCCCGTAAAACGGCATTTTTCGTTCTTCCAAAATTCGTGATTCGTAACTAAGAAAACAACACGTGGTAAGTTTAGATGTTAAATTTCATTCAAAAGTCAATTTTCGTTGAATTTAATATTCTATCTTTTTGTATTTATCCTAAATATTATTACATTCACAATCTGGATCGACAACATATCAAATTTTTTATTTAGACGCATTTCTCGACACACTTTCGTTTTCTTAGACTTGCACTTGCGCGTGTTAAAATCTTGGTCATCGGTTCAAATTGTAAATATTGTCGGAAATAATCATGCAGATATTACAAAAACACAACACAGTGGTAGAATATTCATCCTTTTATTGTATTAACCTAGTAAGATTTTAAAAACCCTTCACTTTGTTTTTCTAGAATATTTAAATAAAAAAAATATTCGATACTGGCAAACATTCGTTACTGGTAAAATGACTGTATTATATGCAAAATTTTTATTTACCCGACCATCAATCAAGTTATAATCATTATAGCTGGTGAGTGACTTGGGTTATATACATACCGTGAATACAACAAATTAAAATTAAATTAAATTCAAATTAAACTTTATAAT